TCTAAGCAATCATTTGAGACAGATGTGCAGCAAAACAAGTGAGTTAATTGTAAGATACTGATATAATTGACTATTTAAAAATATTGCTTGTTCAGTTTTACATCACATGAATACCAAAATCAGGTGACAAGTTGGACAAGCTGTATTAGAAGGATTTATTTTCTAAGTAAAGAGCTCTCTACTGAGTCTGAAGTGTCAGAGCAAACTCAGACATTTATCTGGAAGCAATTTAGGAATATCATCAGTAGGAGGATCCTGATGCAGAATTTAAACCTGCATAAGTGTTCTGACTGGTCAGAATTGAATATAGTGAGAGTTACAGATACTTAGTTAGGCCTGCTCACTCTCTGTTTAATGTGATGGGTAAAAAGTTTTATTCACAGATCTCCTTGAAAGTGTGTGCTAGAGTGGACCTGTGTTTACACCTGACATTGTGAGCCCGAGCACATTTCCTCCAAGTTCAGATCTATAGGCTCCCAAAAAATGGGAGAACTGCAGTCCATTTCCTTGCCACATTTGCTCTGTTTTCTGTGAAAAATATCCATTCTTCTTCCCCTTTTTGTCAGTAGTGCTGATTAACTGTTAATGATTTATGAAGAATTGCTACTAAGCAAGGAAGGAAAAAAAAAGTGGAAAAAATAAAATCTCTCCCTACCCACCCCCGTTTTTCTGCCTTTCTCTTCCCTCTTTGACTGCTTTGACTTCAGGAAATAGATATCAAATGTTCTAAGTTAAATATTCTTAATATTTTTTGTAGATGGTATTTAAAAGTGTATTGACTTTTTAGATTTGTGGAACATGGAGAGTACAAAGAAAATTTGTACGGCACAAGTCTGGAGGCAATCCGGTCTGTGATGGCCAAAAAGAAGGTTTGTTTGGTGGATGTGGTACCTGAAGTAAGTTCTGCATCTTATTTTAAAGAATGCAAATATGATTTACTGCTGCCTGAGCACAATGGGACTCTTGGGAGTGCAGTGCAGTGGTTACAGTTCCTACATGTCTAGCTGGGACAAGCCTTGCAAATGAGACTATAAATCAACTTTTATTCTCTGAATAAAGGTTTATTCTGAGAAATAAACTATGAAAGATGCATTGTAGTAGGACCCACAGGGGGTAATTTTAGATGATTGGCTTTAAGGCATTTACAGCATGGGGTGGCAAAAGATGATAGAACAAGAAACACTTACAGTGTATTGTAATTTGGAAATAGTTGGCTTCTGATTGTGATGGTGTGAATTATAACATCTCTGTTGTCTCACTCTTCACATGAGACTGAAAATGTAATAAAAGTTTTTAAAATACCTCTCAGTTGCCCCATCTGTGGGTCAGAAAAGGAGCCTGGAATCCAACACAGCCTGGATGTCTCTTTAGTAGTCCTCACTGTGGGACTTTGCCCTTGCTGTAGGACTAATGTGCATCCCTGTCCCAGCCTGCTCAGGTCCCAGAGACAATCCTTAGAACAAAGTTGTTGTTTCCATTCCAGTTCTGATTTTAAAAACACTGGCCATAGCATACAGGATCCATTTTTGGCTGCAGATACACAGTACAGTAACATCATGAATCACCCCTGGACAGGAGCAGTGTAAGCACTGCTCTTTATACCCCCATGCTGTGAGTTCATACTTGAAAGTTTGATCCAGATTTTCTAACTGGGCTAGGAAAAGGCTTGTGGTACTACCTCAGATTAATTCCAGGTTTAAAATTTGCAGTGTTTGGCTGCTTAGGCAAAGCAAAGCATTTTGCCCATGAAGTCAGGGTGTTTTATACTTTCCTCAGTATTTTTTGCCATGTCCTTGGAATCACAGTGCTATTCAGGCCATGCTTCATGCACTCTTGTGTGCTAGCCAGGAAATTCAGTGTGCTAGCCAGGACACTGGCACAAGCCTTTTTTTCCTTTTTTTGAAGAGCAAGATTGCTGTGGTCAGATGTGTAGGAGACAGGACTTCACACCAGTGTGTCAGCCTGTACCAGTGAAACCACTCTGAGTCTATCATGGACATGTAGCACAAAGTCTGATAACAAAAAAATTATCTATTCACAGGCAGTAAAGCACTTGAGGACTCCTGAGTTTAAGCCTTATGTTATCTTTGTGAAGCCTCTCATTTCAGACAAGAAAAAACATGCCTTAAAATCTCACATGTCAGAAGAAATCTCATCCCCCCTTGTAAGTATTCCAACTTCCAATCTCTTCTTTTTAGACACATAAGAAGTATTTGGGCTAGCACTTCTGTTACATGAAAGAGCTCCTCTTCCATAACAAGAGTTAAAGTGGGGCACTAAGTAGGTCCTGTAGCCTTTCAGCTGGAACTTCAGAATGGAATTTTTGATTCTTTATCCACTCAGGTTTTAAAGTAACATGAAGCCAAGTGCCAGTCTTCTGTATGGATCTGGGTACATCCTCAAGGCTGCAGCAGGGGAAGCTGCTGCTGAACTCTGACAAACCAACAATCATTTTACATTTCTGATGAGCAGCCCATCAAAAGGTGATGGTAGCTAGCTCTTTGTTACAGCCCCAAAGTGACACCCACACAGCCAGTGTTCTATGGTGTACTCACAAAACACAGTATGTGGATGTCTTGAGCATCAAACTTAGATCAGCTGCAGCTTGGTGAAGTGTAAACCTGAACAGAGTGCATAATGTCATTATTTTGGGTAACCTGAACTTAAATTTATATGTTGCAGAATTTAGTTCACTTTGTAAGTTTTTGTGTAAGCCTTCAAAAATACTGAACTTGGGACAGTGTATGAGCATTTATTTTCAGTTTTTGAGGAGTGTAGTTCCCTTATCTTGGGTTAGGCAGCAACTATAACTACATAAAATGAAGTATCACCATTTTATGTCACTCCTGTAACATATTTTCCTCCTTCCCTGAGGCCCCTGCATTTTTTGGAACAGCTGCCTGTGGCATTCTGCTCCTTGATCTCAGTTTTAGTATCTTCAGTACTTTTTCCTAATGGTAGCAGCTTTTGTTACATGTTCTCAGAGTAATGACTCGTGCTAATATACTTTAAAATGCTAGTAACCAGAAATACATGCTGTAAACTTCACACCAACATCTTGTGTTGATCAGCAGGATGAAGAACAGCAGGAAATTATTAATTCAGCAGCATTCATTGAAGAGCAGTATGGCCACTTAATTGACACTGTACTGGTGAAAGAAGATCTTCAGAGTGCATGTAATGAGCTGAAAACTGTGTTAGATAAACTAAACAAGGATTCATTTTGGGTGCCAGTCAGCTGGGTTAGGTCATAGCTTGTCATCATGTTTAAGAGAAAGACTGTATAAAAATGTTTTGTAAATACATTAATTAGAAAAGGAAAGTACATTGAATTTGCTTCAAACTGCTGGCCTTACCTAGAAGGCAATAAATAAAGACTGTATGAGGAAACAGTAAACTCACAAGCTGACACTGCCTTTCTGAGTCAAAATCTTGAATAGCAGCTGTCATTTAGAAGTTGATACTCAAACCAAATAAGCCAGTCCAGTCTTTTACTGATCTTTAGACTGGAAATTGTGCATTTTGTTACAGTGGTGTTTCACAAAGGGTCCCACACTTCCAAAGCATTTTGTGCTGAGACACTGACAAAGATGGAAGCTTTGTCCTTTGGCCACAATTCTAGCCACTGATTTTGTGACTGGATTTAAAACCTCAGAATAAAGTACCCTTGGGAAAAAGCTCCTTCAGCTGGGTGGGAAGTATTCCTTGGAGAGAGGTTATACCCTGCCAGTTACTCAGAAGTCCAACTTGCCAGCAAAACATGCTTCCCTTCACACAGAAGAATTCATTGCAAATCCTTTAGTTAGGTACCAAAAACTAGGCCAGCTACTGAAGGGGGTTTTTTAATGTCCATCACATTTCCCAGTACTCCAAGTTGTCTTGCACAGGTCCCAGCTGTTAGTCTGCTCAGCCACAGCTTATGCCCACTTTACCAGTCACAAATGCTGAACACCCTGAGAGTGTACCTGTATGACTGGCCAGCTCATAGAACATAGATTTTTATAGTGTACATGAAAACAACTGCATATGGTTCTAAAACAGGACAGTTAAGAAGCTTTGTTCCTGCAAAACATCTTTGCTTGTGCTGCCTGGTGGGACAGCCTAGACACCAATGGAACAGCTCCAAAAAGGGCACTGAAAGGGGGAGCTACAGGTCAAAATCATAATCTTTCCAGCATTTATGACTCCTTCTGCTCCAAATCTGGTAAAGGTTTCCAGAGCATTTAATTGGCCTGAAGAAGAAAACTGGTAGAGGACCTTGTATATATTTGAGGAGACTTGAATATCCAGTATTTTTGAGTGGGTCTTAGGAAGATACAGAGATGATGTTGTAGCTGTGCTTTATACTTGGGGATTGGAGGGGAGAGCATTGTAAAGGTGCATGTTAGCTACAACTAGTTCCTGTTTTCATTTGCCTGCTGAGGTCTAATATTTCCTGTGTATTGTGCCCTTTAAACAAGACCTTTTGGTGTACCAGTCTTGTTCCTTATATCTTAACAGATGATGTTATTCTTGTTCCATGACATTTAGCAGAACTAAAAGTTGCATATTAAAAGCACATTTCTTACATACCAGTGTCACTGAATCTACGTTATATCAAGCCCAAAAAGTTGTGTAAAAGAATCACCCCCATCCATCCTCTCCAAATGGCAGCTTTCATGTATGGTCCTGCCCATGGGCATTGAGGTTCTGTTCCCACTGCTATAAAAACAAGAACTTTTCCCAGGCAGGTCCCTGCACTTGTCAGTGCTGCAGCCTGGTGGCCTCAAAAACTGCTGAGGACTCCTGCACGTGCAGTGGGCTGTCAGCCCTGCAACCATGTGCCAGCACAGCCACCAGAAAGGATTTGGCTTCTTAGAGAGGCAATTCATGACAGATGAACCTTGATCCTCTGAAAAACTGAGGGAAATATTTAAAAAACTATTTCAGTAACAGCATTTCAAACTAAGTCATTTTATGAAAATGATAAATGGCCAGATTGATCTCACCCTAGGTCTGTATTTCAGGTTACAAACAGATTTTTATATAAACATATTTAGAAGATTCAGATTTAAGTTAAAAAGCTAAGGGTCAGAATTTATTTAAAGCAAGGTTGCTATCATAACATCTTTAAATATTTTGAATGACTAGCAGTAAATAAAGCTGTATGTTTTATGATCTAACATAGTCTAATAGTAGAAACATGCATTAACAGAAGCAAGGCACAAGTTACAAACAAGATACACGTGAAATTTTCAGTTACTTTAATGTAAGCTAGCAAAATACAATATTGGCATTAAAAGTGTAAAAGATAAAAAGGTGACTTCATAGTGGGATGGGTGAGACTCACCCTAGTGCAAAGTCTCCCACAGGCAACAATTTCCTGTGAAATTGAGTTTGACCAATTTCTGATAAAATTTTTATAAATTCTGATAAAACTTCCAGTTTTATCTGTGGTTACTGGAAGAGGACAAGGGTTTGCAGAGAACCTCAGTGACTGCAAAACCACAGCCATGGCATGAAACAGCCCAAAATGATGAGTGCATCTCATCCCTGATCCTCAGTGCAAAGAGAACAGCACAAGGTCACCTTCAGTGTCCTGCACTTTTCCTGAAAAGAGTTAAAATACAGATCCCCTCTTCATCACAGCCCTAAAATTAACCAGTAACTCAGCTTACTGGCTGGGGATATGTAGCAATTTTGACTTTTTAAAACCATCCAAAATCAGGAAACATCCTGATCAAACTCAGCACTGCTGAGTAACTACATGAAGGTAACGTGGGTGCCTAAAAGCCTCCCATGCCATCCCAGGGGAGAGAAGCTTCTCAATAATATTCCAGAATTGAATACCACCTTATTTATGCTGAGGCACGAATTCCAGCAAAAGTCCACATTGAATGTTATATACTCTAAGCAGCACTATGATTTAAAGTGAAAAATCTGAGAGCTAGCAAAAAAAATACCTGCAGATAGCAGTTGTGCAAAAGAGGAGGAGAAACTGTATTTTCTTAATGAATAAAAACGTATTTTGCTAATGAGTTTGTGTTCTGGATCTGCAAAGTTGATGGCACAGCAAACACAGCACAGATTGGTGCTTGGAATCCCATCCCCACCTTTCTTTTTTTTTCCCCAGGTCCCCTCCAGTCAGGCAGAACAGCCACCTGTACATTTAAATAAGTGCACAGGAGGCACCACAAAACCCTTTATGCTGCTGTGCTGATGATTCCATGAGCTGGACTCCTTTCTTTGCGGTGCCCTTATCCCAGAGATCTGGAGTCTGCAGGATCTTTATGACCAGTTCCTCAAAGGCATGTTGCACTCCATCCTCTGTCTTGGCACTGGTCTCTGAAGGAAGGGGGGAAAAAATATTTTATCTTATTTGCAGGGAGTATATTCCACTTAGGAAAAATTTATTTTGGGACCAGAGAGTTTTAATGAGTGAACCTCTTCTCCATTCTCTCTTAAAGGTACACTTAAGTTGAACAGGATAAACAGAAATACATCCCAGACTGAAGTATCACATTTTTCCACCAAAAAGAAATCCACAGTTCCCCATTTTCTCCATAATGGAGAAAAAGAAATTGTTCTCAGGTTGTGACAGCAAATCTAGAAGATAATTATTCCATAATAAAGCTGAGAAGCAAAGAATACAGAGGGAATTGCATATTGTCCCCTCTGTGTTTCAATTTCTCCTAGAAATCTTTTCAAGAAGCTTTTTCTTTAGAAACTCAGTTTGTTCCCCACCATTATAGCTTCACATTGTACATTTTATTGTTGCTCTAAGAATATTGTCTTTTATGTAGCTGCAACAGAAACTTGGAAATGAAAGATCAGCCACGGTCCTTGCAGACATCAGTAAGGAGGAAAATTTCAGTCTTCTGGGCTCTGAATTAAAAAATCCTGCTAGTTTCAAGAAAATATAAAATTCATGCCTGTACAGTATATGCAGTAAATCTGTTTCAGAGAAAAGTGCTCTGGTTGCAGTCAACACAGAAGCTGAAACCTACATCCCTGCAAGAAATTACAGCAAAAGGAATTAATCAGGTATTAAAAAAAAAAAGTAACAACCCATCAACCTGAAATACAATTGTACATTCGTGCTTGGCAATACCAAAATAAACATTGGAATGTGGAGGTTTTGGTCCCAGAGGTGCATACCTATAAAAAGCAGTGAGTGTTTCCTAGCAAGCTGGAGCCCTTCTTTTCTTTCTACTTCACGGTCAGGCTGCAGAGACAAATGAAAACCATGACTGAAATAAGCTACACTTGCCACTTTAAAAAAGTACCCAGAATAGCACCACTGAAATGACAAAACACCCTCAAAAATGAAGTTTTGTTGAAAGGAAAAGATGTCTGTGATACGTATTAATGAACTGGATCTTCTCACTCTATAGCTCACTGCCAGGCTGGCTGTTAGGGGGTCAAACTGAACAGCAGCAGCATCAAACCACAGAATCACAGAATCTCCTGGGCTGGAAGGGACCCACCAGGATCATCTGAGTCCAGCACAGCCCCAGAACCACACCATGTGCCAAACCAGCAGGAAATGAATGTGCTGCTGTGCTCTGAATCAAGCAGAAGCAGAAAGGCCCAGCAGTCAAGTCCAAAAAGCCCATCAAAAGTTCTGTAACTGGGCACACTGGGAGGGGCAGAGGAGAACCCAGCTCAGCAGAGCCACACTCAAATTCCCTCATTGCAAAGCAAGAGCAGAGCACCTCACTGTGCAGCAAGCATCTAAATGTGTCAGAAGAGCCCAGAAACAACCAGCAAGCAGTGCACCTCACAGCCATGCACAGAGCTGGGCTCCCCTTCCCCAGCTCCTGTCCAACAGGGGCTGGGCAGAAAGCAGCAGCTGTGCTGCAGGCAGTGTTACACAGCAGGTTTTGGGCAGGCCCTTGCACCATCTTAATGGAATATCATCAATTGCATCTCTCCAGGAAAGCTCCCGTTAAATCTTTAACAATACCTGCTTCTAAAATGATTGAAGTGGAGCCTTCCCAACTGAGTAGCAGAGTGAATTACTTCCTGACACAACAAATGTGTTACAGCACTCACCTCACATTTACACACTGATAAATAAATAATCCAGGGAAGAGTGGAAAAGGATGCATTCCCAAACTGACCTTATCAGTTTTATTGCCAACCAACATCTTAACAGTGCTGCTGGAGGAGGTGTACATTTCCAGCTCATTCAGCCATCCTCCTATTCCTGTGAAAGTGTCTTTTCTTGTGACATCATACACTGAGAACAGAAGAAAAGGAGCTTAACAGCTGTAGAGTCTTGCACAATGTTTCTTTCCTTCATTGTGACAGAACTTGGTCCATCCACACTTCCTAACTAGTGCCTGGAAAAAACAAATGTACCAGGGAAATACAGAAAGGGGCATCAACCACACACTCCTCCCAGAGCTGGAACACGCTGGGCTGTGCTCACCCAAAGTCGCTTCAGGATTACAGAACACAAGCACCTCTGCAAGGGAAAATCAGATTTACCAACAGAAATATTCCCCCTGTTGGTAGTGCTGAATTGGGCTACACAGGATATTTTAAAATAGGTAATTTGTCATCTAATTTTATGTATAAGTACATGCACACACTGCTGCTAAAAGCATGGACCAAGCTAAAAGCTACTTTTAGGCACTGGTAAAAGTAACTGCATTTGCATAAATCACTAAGATTTAAAAATAATAGAAAGAATATTTTGTACAGTAAAGTTAAGGTTAGCCTTCACAAATCCTGAAAGGAAAAACCCTTTTGTTTTCTAATTGCTGGCTTTGCCTGTGTACAAACCTCGAGTCCTACCATAATCACAACAATCATATCAGTAGTTTCTGGAAAAAAAAACATCTTGGGGAAAAGAACACAACACAACCCCTGATTAGCCTTATTACCAGAAAACCACCCATGTAATAACTACAAAGCTAATAATTCATCTACTCAACAGCTTGCAGCATGACATCTCTGTCTTTTTAATTTAAAGTACTTTGAAGCAGCAGTATTTCCTGCCTGTGGTTTTGCATACTCAGTGTTTGAGCTAATGAGCAGTAATGTTGTAAAAACCATAATTATCCCTCTGATTATCTTAGATAACCTCCCTTTGCAAGGAAATGCACATTTAGGAGAAATAAAGACCAGGATTTCTGTAATCATGCTTTTCTTCCATTTATTTCATACCTAAAACAATCCCTTGAGCTCCTCGGTAGTAAGTGGGAGTCACTGCTCTGAAACGCTCCTGTCCTGCTGTATCCTACAGAGGGAGGGGGAAAAACCCCAAACACACGACAGCAAATACATTTAGAATTTTTTTTTTAAAAATGGTATTTTAAATGAAACAAGCAAATTTAAAAATAAGCAAATTTAAAATTTTAAATTTTTAATCCTGAGCAGTAAGGATAAATGAAATCTTAAGATGTGAGAATGAGAAAAGCAGTCAGGAAACAGCAGAAGAAAATGGCTAAAGAGTGGGAGAAAAGCATGGAGAGGACCTGACTGGAAGTAAAAAGGATTAAAAGATACCTGTAACATGAGTGAGACAACAGCAAAGTAAAAAGGACTCCAGAGAAATACATAAAAGGCAAGCAGCCACACAGATGGGTGCAAATGCAGCTGAACTGAATGAGGTGAGGAATAACTGATTTTCCAGTGAGAGACTGCAGGAAAGGAGACTGAGAGGTCCCAAACATCTCCCTCTGCTCCTTTACCACAAGACAAATCTAGTTAGAAAGAACTACTTCAAGAACCTAAGCAGGCAATAAATTTAAAATCAGTAGTTTCATTCAATTATTACTGCAATATGTCTCACTTAAACTCATAAGTAAGTAAGGATAAGTGAGGTACTAAGTACAATATGAAATTCAAAACAAACAATAAGGAGGCAACAAGTCACACAAATACTATTTTTTGAAAATAATTTCTTTTTATGTACAGCTTACAATTGATGGACTAACAGCTACATTGTAATCTATTTATTCTTCGTTTTAAAAAAAAGGAAACTAAAATTGGGACTATACTTACCTAATTCAACCCATTGTTACTAGGGGGATTGTATTTTAGTCCCAATTACTTAATTAGTAATGGCATTTTCTTCCTCAAGTACCTATGACCATACACATAAAATCCCTCCTTCCTAAGGCTCTTTCATTCCACTTAGAAGAATTTAATGTTTGCTTTATATCATAAATAATCCTGATCACACAGCTGCAATCTGATTTCAGTCTGCAGATGCTGAAAATTCAGCATCAAGAAATTCAGGACAAATGCTTGAGGTTTCCTAGTTAATCTGAATCAACCTTTAAGCAGTTCAATAACAAGTTTGTGGGGTTTTTTTGGTGTGATTTTAACCAAAATAAAGCATCACACAGAGTTGCTACACAGCCCCTACAGGCGATCACCCAGCTCCTTACCCAGAGCATCACCTTTCTCTGCTCGACTCCATTCCTGTGCTCCTGGCTCATGCAGGCACCTCTCTGCCACGGATGGGTTTGTCCATGCCTGAGGTGGGATTAACCCAAACAACCTTTCCTAAAATACCTTTCATGTGTACCACGGGCACTTTATCTCCATCCACTGTGTGCAGGGGGTCAGGCTGGGCAGGACCAGCTCGACTGCTGGAGCGTGCAGGTGGCCGCCTCTCACATGCTACAGCTTCAGAAGCTTTACACTCCCCAGAGCCTTCGAGAAACTGCAGCAAAGGGCACTCAGAGCCTCCACTGGAACGGAAGGAAGTCCCAAACCTTGACTAAGGAAGCCTTTGGAAGTGTTTTGTTTGTCTGCAGCTGCTGCTGTACAATCACAACACTCATTCTGCACACATTGTGGCCCAAGTATGTGGCCAAAGTGGCTGGATTTCAGCAGGCCCTGCGGGGTTTATTTTTCACACCACATCATGATTTCAGTTATCTGTTCCAGTCCTGTCCTATCCTGCTGAGTCTCCTTCACCTTTTTGGTTCATTTCCCTGTGAAAATCTCAAAATGCAGAAGACTTTAGCAAAGAGAGGAGGAGCAGGAAGGAAGCGAAGGTGAAAAAACCACAAAAAGCAGCTCTTGAAGCCTGTGCATCTCTCAAAACCTAACATAGTCTGGAACAACACCTACCCATATGGCCAGCTGTACTGCACGGCCCTCCAGCACCATCTTCTTCGTTTTAAAATCAACACCTAAGAGTTAGAAGGGGAGGCTCGTCAGAAGGAACCTCCGAATGCCCGCCCGGCATCTCCGCATCTGCAGGATCCCGGCTCCGGGCCCCAAAAACAAGCGCAGAAGGAAGGATCCCAGCAGGAAGGATCCCAGCAGGAAGGCGCCCAGCAGGAAGGCGCCCAGCAGGAAGGAGCCCAGCAGGAAGGCGCCCAGCAGGAAGGCGCCCAGCCCCGGGCGGACTCCGGGCTCACCGACGGTGGGTGTGAGGCGCGGCTCGAAGGCGCCGTCCATGAACCTCCGCAGGAGGCGGTGGGGAGAGAAAGGGCGGCCTCAGCGCGGGGCTGCGCTCGGGGCCCCGCGCGGGCCGCGGCAGCACCTGGACTTCCCCACGCCGCTGTCCCCGACCAGCAGCAGCTTCAGGGTGAGCCCCGGGCTCGGGGTGCGGCCTGCGGGCTCCATCCCGCAGCGCTCCGGCCGCCGCCCGCCGCTCCCGGCCCGGCGGCGCCGCGGCCCCGCCTCTGAGGCGGCGGCCGGGCCGGGCGGGGCGGGAGCGGCCGCAGCGCCAAGGGCGCCTGGCGGGCGGAGGCGCGGCCATGGGCGATTTCCAGATCTCGGTGGAGGAGCTGAACGAGCTCCTGTCGAACGAGAGCGGCTGCTACAGCCTGCCCAGCGCGCACAGCAACGAGGTGGTGCCGCGCATCCACGTGGGGAACGCGTGAGTGCGCCCGAGCGGGGCCGGGCGGGTGCGGAGCGGGGCCGGGCCGGGTGCGGTACCGGCGTTCCGAGGGCCGGGCCGGGCCGGGCCGGGTGCGGTACCGGCGTTCCGAGGGCCGGGCCGGGCCGGGCCGGGTGCGGTACCGGCGTTCCGAGGGCCGGGCCGGGCCGGGCCGGGTGCGGTACCGGCGTTCCGAGGGCCGGGCCGGGCCGGGCCGGGTGCGGTACCGGCGTTCCGAGGGCCGGGCCGGGCCGGGCCGGGTGCGGTGCCGGCGTTCAGGGGCCGGGCCGGGCCCTGAGGCGCAGCGCGGTCACCCAGCAGCTCCCGGCGCTTCGGGCCGGGGGCAGTCCGGCTGCAGGACGGGATCTCAGCGAGCCCTGCGGGGTTTATTTTTATTTTTTACACCACGTCATGATTTCAGTTATCTGTTCCAGTCCTGTCCTGTCCTGCTGATTCTCCTTCCCTTTTTTGGTTCATCTCCCTGTGAAATTCGGGATATTTTTTTTTTTTTTAATTCATGTATAGTATACCGGGGCCCTGTTCTTACTTTAGGTTTGTACGTCCTACAGGTCAAGATCGTAGGTTGTCACTAACTTATTCCTAAGGCAAACCAAATTATATTTGTTACTGCAGGTGCTGGACATGTACGTGTAGAAATGGGACTGAAATCACTCAGTAGACAGCCACCACCTCCTTCATACTTGTAGCACTTTCCTGGAGAAAAGGAAGTCATAACTTGCAAGCTGATTTGTGCATTAAATAATTTAAAAATAACTTCGAAGATAGATAGCTACTACAGAGTAGTGTTTGCAATTGTTCAGTATGGATTTTAATATATTCACCTGCAAGCGTGTCTCAGAACAGATAATGCATGTATAAGGTGCACAGTGGGAAATCTCTGTCTAGTACAAATCTTGACCATTGAGAAAGACTTTTTATGTAATTGGAGACAAACAGAAATATCTGAAGCACCAGTGCAGTTTGTAGCACAGGAACAGTTCAGCTGGTAGTTGGATAAACAGAAAACATGCAGTTGTATTGTCAGTGTTTCTAAAAGAATGCTGAAAAATTGTGGAGAGCAGCTAAAACTAAGAAATAACTTTGTGGCTCAAAAAAACTATTGCACAATTGGAACAGATAATCTACTTAATTTGTCAAGACTGAAGAGACAATAATATCTTTGAAGCATCCACAGAGAGTTAAGGTAATGCTGAGGTCTAGCTGAATAGGTGGATTTCCATTAAGATTTGGTCACTGCATGGTGAACTTTGATATTCTCTAACTGGAAATAATATTAATTCTTAAGGGGATGTTTTGTATCAAGTGGAGTTGAGGTATATTCTGCATTGAAGCAGCATTTGCTATATTAGTCATTCTGAAAGAATATAAATTTCCAGCATAATTTTGAGCTTAATGTCCAGGGTTTTTACTTTTGCTGTGTGTGTAATTTACGGTCACATTTTAGATAACAAGCAACAGAGATTTTATAACAATAAAACTCCACAGAGCAGCCAGAGTAGGGGGATTGGAATGCCAACATGTGAAATGCAAGCAATAGAATTTGAACAGGAACTCAGATAAAAATTCAAACCTCTTGAGTGAGATACAGAAACTTCTGTTGGTTACATTTTAGAAGGTTTTGTATAGTAGTGCTGCTATCTCTCCTTTAGAGTAGCTCATCTTTAGATAAAAATGACAGCAAAGAGACATTGAGGCTGATGAGGTTAAATGGGGTCACAGTGTAGAATAACAGTATCTGTCAAGAGAATTCAAGTTGCAGAAAGAGCCAAAGTAATGGATCTTCCAGGCAATACACAAAAGTCAAAATTAATGAAAATACAGAGATAAAATGATAAAATATTTTTAAATTATGGGTTTCCATATTACCATAGGCAATTCTGACCTCTCAAGATCAGACAAAATTTGTGAAGATAAGAGTAAAAATGTTATACCCCTAAAACAAGAATTGTGTAGGTGATAGACTAGCACAATTATATCGTTTTCAAACAGTAACAAAATAACAATTTGGGATGCACAGCAAAGTGCACATCATGTTGTGTTTCTTTGTAAGTGATGTGTTCCACTGTAGCATCTTAATCTGACCAGAAGGGTTGGACAGAATTCATTTTTATCAGGGCTGCAGGTGACACAAAAATGGGGACAAGAGGGAGCACTCAGCACACTGGAGGGTGGGAGATTTTTATCCAGAGCACCCATTCTTGTGAAAAGCAGTGTTTTACCTGAAAATGGGCAGGCTTGGATTTCTGAACTGCTGACTAAGGGAAATTGTTTGTGGGGGTTTTTCCCAGATGCCTGGGAACCTGTAATGGTTCTGGCCTTGTCTCCAGAACTGTATTTGGTAAAAATGTTCTGGTTTTGAATGCCCAAGCTTACTTTTTCTGTCTGCTTTGATGTATGGGGATAACACATAAAGCAATTATTTGTTCTTAATGTGCTAGAAGTGCAGGTGTGTTGTAAGGAGTATGGAGGGCATTCTCCCAAAATTAATATTAAATTCAGTGACTCTAAGGGAAGTGTTGGTAGGAAAACAATTTTGCATGGACAGGACAGCGCCAATTAAAATGTGCTAATAGGCTGGCATTTTTTGCCATTAAAAACTTGGTTTATTTGTTTATAATTCCATATGCCAGTAGTTGATAGCCTCGTGTAGCCTAAATTGCTGATGAATGGTTCTCCAAAACCTATGTTTTGTCTGTGGCTGGTAAAATAATTCATCTCTATTCAAAAGAAACACTTCTTACTGGTGTTACTCACAGGATAAGGAACTCTAAATCTCCCATATTGAGAATGGACAAGATTCTGTGGTTTTTTTTCAGGAACCAGATGAAGCTGATGTTAGCATCTCTCTGCTATTTGAAGGAGCTAGCATTTCAACATCCAACATGATGCAGCTGGAATGAAATGTTAAGGATGAGAGAGATCCAAGGACTGTTTGGAAAGGGAGAAACAAATGGCATACAAATTCTCTCTTTTTCACCTCTAGCTGTGTAAGAAAATCATCTGTAAAATCTGCAAAAATCATTCACTGGGAATGAGTTTGCCTCCAGGGAAGCCAGTCTGTTGCCACATTCACCCATGATTTCAGGATGGGAGTCCTGTTGATGCTGAACAGTCATATACATGCTGATCTATATATTGTTAATTAAACCATATTCTCACCCTACTAAGCATAGGAACTCACTGCTGAATTAACACTTTTTGGTTTGGCCTTGCTCTGTAGGATTTTTGTGTTGAAAGCAGAATTCTCCAGGCACTGAAACTTCTCCCCTGGCACAGATGATGTCCTGCCAGATGGAAAATCTGTCAGCATTTGTTTGGGTAATGAAGTCTTACAAATATTTGGTTCATTGCCATAGATGCTTGGCACAGACAGCAGAAAATGTAGAAGCTTCAGTCATGCATAAATCTTCATCTGCTTTCACTAGAATTTAAGGGGTGTGCAGTCATCAGGAAGAAAGGAATGCTCAAGATGTTCATGGCCTTGAATTACATCAAAATTGTGAGTGAATGCATTCAGAGATTCATATAGATGTCAACTGACTGATTTGGGTGTTTAAGTTTTTAGATTACCTAAGTGTCCAGCAAAATGCCCTGGATGTATTGCCATCTCACAGAAACCTGTCCAAAATGATACTGCACAAATGCTTATCTGGAGTTCAGCTTAATATTAAGACCTCTTTACGAGTTGAGCTGTAGGGAGGTTTTAAAAAATATTTCTGTTTCCATATCCAGTTAAATACATACTGAAAGCTGATTTTAAAAACAACCTGTCTTTTCACACAGTGTGCAGGAACTGATTTATCCTTCAGCTCAAGCTTTCTGTCACATCCTGCTAATGCTGACCAATGGGGCTTAGATTTTACTGGGAGACCAGTGATGTGATAAAATATGTGGGGTTTTTTTCTTCCCAGGAAAATGAGGCAAATGTTGCAACTGACATGGAAATAATCAGACTCAGAATGAAAAGTAGTGGGATTATGGCAAAAAGGAGTTAAAGCTCTCCTGATATCACTTAATGGTTAGCTCCTCTTACTGTAGATTGCATGCCAGGGCACAAGCAGACACTGGTGCATGGTCAGCTGTGTTACTGAGCAGATGGGTTCTTTGCCTTTGTGCATCCTGGAGCTTTTATCAAAGCTTATGGCATTATTACTGGATCTAATTAATTGCCATCATCAAGCCTGAAAGGCATGAATATTATCATCCAGCTCAATTATTCACTAATATGGTAGGTGACTTTTAGCCACCTAAAGATGGAAGCTGGTAGTTTTGCTACAACTGGGAAAACTGAGGAGTTGGAAAGGACTTAGCTGACCTAAAAGTTCTGAATGCTTTCTTAAGCACTTCAGCATCTTAACCATCACTCATCTGGAGTCTTTCACATTCAGATACTGATTTCAGCTGAAAATTGTAACACTTGTGATGGGAGCACTGACTCTCAAAGACTGAATGATATCTCTGTGTTGCTGGCCTCTGCATAGCCTTGACAGATCTTTCCATGCCTTCAGAGATGTTGAATAGCACAGGGCATAGGACTACACCTCTTAGTAGCCCTTAGATGAGCCTTTTGAATATTTAAGTAACATTTACTCAGTCACTTTCTTCCTGTGGCCTGATAAGAAGTCAGTGCTGTTTCACAGTGTTTAAAATTGCCCCCTAAAATGTCAGTTTGTCTGGGCTGCCTGCTAAAGTACCAAGTACTGCTTATCAAGTTCTGCAACACTGGTACCTGACAGTGGAGGCTTTTTATAACTGGTTTTTAAAATATTTTATGTGGATAATAATTAATCTTAGAAGTTCATGTGTTATCATCTTCAGTATTTTCCTACTTGGGTCAGAATTTTATGTTCAGAAAGTTAGAATTTTATGCCATGGTGGGATCTAACAGATGCAAATTCACTTTCATGTATGCATTCCTCAGTTGTCAGCCAAGGAAGCAGCATTCTCTCATGCACAAGTAGTGACCATGGCTCTGAATGTTTTTGTGAATTTATAACCTGTAGCAAATTCACTTTTGGGCACGGCATATTGGCATCTATTAACAGAAAAATCAAAGGGTTTGGTTATCAATACCTAAATACTGCGATGATTCACCAAATTCTAATCATTTTCTTGATGCTTTTTGTCATGCAGGTTCATAGCCAAGAACATTACGAGGCTGCAGCACCTGGGGATAACCCATGTTCTGAATGCAGCAGAGGGGAAATCATTCATGCATGTGAACACTAATGCAGAGTTCTATGAAGGCACAGGCATCAGATACCATGGCATTAAAGCTAATGATACACAGGAATTCAACCTCAGCCGCTATTTTGAGGAGGCAGCTGATTTTATTGACAAAGCCCTTTCCCAGAAGGATGGTAAGGCAAACTGAAATACCTTTCTACCATGTTTTCTGTGCACTGCATATGTTTCTTAGAGATTTGCTGTTTAAAATGCTTCTTTGCTCTTATTATCTACAGAACAACCAAGTGAAAAATTCAGATAAAGGCCCTGAATCAAAGGCACAAGAATGCACAATAAGACAGTTTTATCTTGTGTAGGTCTCCAATACATGGCAAAGGGAAGTCTGTCACTGTAGGGGTGACTTTGAAATGGGAAACAGCTGCTGCATCTTATTATAGTTTCTTTCTGGAAAGAGATGGTTTTACTCTTCCTTTAGAAATGTTAAATCACATTTAAAATATTCTTCAAAAATATAAGTTAAGAGTCTAAAAGTTGTTTAAGCACATTAGAAATTACAATGTAAAGACAAAAGTAATATAAGTTATAGAAGTACTAAATAGTAGTCACATAACCTGTTACATGGGTTTTTTTCCAAATGTACAGTAAGAATACAGATTGCCACCTTACAGTTTTTAGTACATGAAGTCATGACATTGTTTTATGTGTTGATTGCCTCTATTTCCCAGGATTGCAGGAAAGTTGGAGGTTATATTTGCAATGTTGTTTATTGCCACATTTCTCTGTAGCGTGTTTCCTCAGAGCAGAAATCCTAGGACACAGTGCAGTGGGACAGATGGTGTTTGTGTTGTCTAACTATTTCAACATTCCAGTTATTTCTACACATGCTTAATTTCCTTCTTGCTTCGTGACTGAGCATTGAATTGGAGCAATGAGAACTCCCACAGTTCTAGAATCTTTCTCTGAAATGGGCAAAGGGGTTCTGGAGCTGTGACGTGGGTTTTAACAGATGGAAATAAATTCTACATCCACTTTGGTGGAGTATGAAAAATTCTAAAAATTAAATGCAACTCTTGCGGTTAGCATTGTGACTCTCTGAAACAGGCTGAAGAGGAGAGAAGGGTTTGCTGTGCCATGACTGCACCTGCTCAGTTTAATCTCAGTAGTTTCAGGGTCAGTGAATTCAGAGTCAGTCTGGATTTGCAGCAGTTCATTTACTGATTCTTTCAGTCTTAGCAGTTGTTTACCACACCCACCACTGTTTTTTTAATGTGGAAACAAAGAGAAATCTTGCAGCTGGGTGATGCTGGAGTCAGTTTTAAGATTACCTGGCTACTGCAAATTGTTAGTTTTGTTTGACATTGAAGTGTAGAGTCGGGATAGTGAAGAGAAGAGGAATATAATAGTGTTCTCCTTCAATTTCATTCTAGTGTGCAGTGCCTGCAGGTCTGGAAGGCAGCCCTTCAGTCACTGCCTTTCACAGAGAGAGGCTAAAAACCTTTTTGCTGCTGACCACTTGCTGAAAAGGCAATTCTCTTCCATGTATATAATCAAGAATCTCTAAATTTTGCTAATTTATGACTACAGACTCTCAAGAAATTTTGAGAATTATTTTAGCTCTTTTACCATGATTTGCCTTGAGCTGAGAAGCTTTTGCTGTTTAAGGCAAATGTGGTAACAGGATTTCTGTTGGTGTGATTCAAAGCAAGTTGTAATTATGATAGGAGTGTGCGTGTATGGTTCAGCTGTTTTCTTGTCTCAAGAAACAATTTAGAGAGTAGATTGGGACCACATGTCCCACTACATTTGGGAGAGAGAAAATTTCTGGAAAAGCAGGTCAAAGAGGAAGAAGCTGAGAAACAATACAGTCAGGTTAGATCTCTCAAAGGGAGCACTGGCCTGCTTTTTTATTTTTGGATACCTCACTGTAGGATTTCCCCATGTGGTGGGTTAACCTTAGCTGGACGCCAAGTGGCCACCAAGCCATGCCAGCACATCCCTGCCTCAGCTGGACAGGGGAGAAAAATAAAACAAAAGGCTCATGGCTCAAGATAAGGGCAGGGAGATCACTCAGTAATTACCATCACAGGCAAAAGAGACTCAGCTTCAGGAAGTTAATTTTACTTAATGCAAATTAATTCAGAATAGGGTAATGAGTAACAAAATCAAACCTTAAAAGACCTTCTCTCTAACCCCTCCTTTCCACGTTCAGCTTCATTCCCTATTTCTCTGTCTCCTCATGCCAAGCAGCTCAAGGGGACAAGGGAGTGGGGATTGCAGTCAGTTTATCACATGTTTTTAATGAACACACACCTTCCTCTTCATTCTCTTCCCCTGCTCCAGTCTCACTCACAGGAGACATCCAAGAACTTCTCCAAGTTGAGACCTTCCCAGAGGCTGCAGCTTTGCATTACCTCCTCCAGCTGGATCCCTTCCTCCATGGGGCACAGTCCTCCAGGAGCAGTTTGCTTTAGTGCAGGGCTTCCACAGGCTCACAGATTCTGCCTGAAAACATGTTCCAGCATGTGTTCCTCTAGCCATGGAGCCACAGGTCCTGCTCCAGTGCTGCCTTCCCATGGGTCCTGGCCTCCTCTGGGCATGTCCCTGGCTCTGGCACTGGCATGGGGTCCCCCACGGCTGCAGGGGTGTGGCTGCTCTGCTCTGGACCTGCATAGATTGAAGGGGGACAGCCTGCCTCACCTTGTCCTCCCCACAGGCTGCAGGGGATCTTCTCTGCTGGGCCTGCAATTCCCTCCCCTCTTCTGCCTTCACTGACCTGGGTGTCTGCAGAGTTTTTTTCACATATTCTCACTCCTCTCATTCACCTGCTCTTGTGCTGCAGGTTTTTTTCCCCCATGTTAAATATGTTACCCCAGAGGTGCTGCCACTGTCACTGGATCCAGCTGGCTCTGGCTCTTTGGGACACAGGGGAGGCCTCTGGCATCTTCTCACAGAAGGCACCCCTGTGGCACCCCCACCACCAAAATGTTGCCATGCAAACTCAGTCCAACCCACCTCGTATGTGGAGTCAGCTGGAAGCATTTCATTGGTGCTGACAAACAGCATGGTTAGAGGTTTCTGCCTCTTGTCTCTGTAGAGGAGGCAGCTTCACCTACTTGAGTGTTGGTGTGGCCTCATAAATAGCCAAAATAGTGGCCAGGTGTGATTCAGCATGGAGTTAGTGGAGCAGAAAGGCTGCTGGATATCTTTGAAGAGATGCAGTATATGCCAAACAGCATATTTATTTTCAGTGTATTTTAAACTTCATTTATTTATACTCTTTGGTACTGGTCCCCTTTAGGGGCAAAGCTTGTCAAACCCAACAAAGACTGGAGAAATGCAGTGAATAGACATAGTTTGACTCTTGTGATAGAGCAAAATCTGTTTCAGTGAGATTGTTTGACATGCAACCTATTTTTCTTTCTTTTGCATTACCCTTGCCCACAGACTGTAGCTACTTATTACTGTGAACACCTTTCTTCCAACTGCAGCATGTCTCCTGTAGCATTTCAGCTCTCAGGCTGTGAAAGGGCTGTTATCAATGCACTGCATATCCTGGCTATTTCCTGTAACATTGTGGGGTTTAGGTGGTGCTTGCTGCTACCTCTATCTTACTCCCCAGTAAGCATCTCCTGTGGAAAAGCAGCTTGGGTAAGCATCCAGGCAAAGCAGTCAAGTCCACACACCACACTCACCTGTCAGCAAAGAGAGGCAGAAGGGCTTTTTGTATAGTCAGTTCCAGTGAGGTTTATTCCAGCAGGCCAAAGGGGAACCAGAAAAAGACAGACTATGTGCTCTGCACAAGGTTAATTAGGGAAGGGCACGGGGTGGCACAAAGGGGATTGGCTTTCAGGGAAGATGGGGCCAGCCACCAAGGTACCACAACCAAGGAGGAGACGGAAAGGAGAAAGAATCTGGGATTTATGGGGAAAGGAACTGGGATGGATCAGTGTTAAGCAAGAGTCTATTGTGAGGTTTTTTTCTGTCTGCCCAAGTGGGAAGAAACTACAGTAAGTCTCTCCAAGGCAATGCCCTGGGGATTTTCCTGAGGGGGAAGGATTCAGAGGATTCCACAACTCCCCTGTTTTTTCTTACTATGAAGAACTTCTGCAGATACTTAACAAAACAGGGAAACATGAGTAAAACAATAAAAACAATGATTACAATAAAAAAAATTCCTTCAATAAAAGATGAAACCCATCTTGTCTAGAAATTTCATTGATCCAAACTGAGTTCTTCTCCACCTTTTAAGTCCTTTACTTGTTCCCTCATTTAATGAGTCAGATGAGTCCTTTACTCATTCTCTCAGCTTCTGGCTGCTTGCGTGGATAGATTCCGAGTGTGAGGAAAGGCTGAGGCAGCACATCCCTTCGAAGTCTTGGCAGCCATATCCATGAGCAAGCAGCACAAAGTCTGTCATTCCTGCGGCTGTCTCCCTGCAGGCCAGGTGCTGGTGCACTGCCGGGAGGGCTACAGCCGCTCGCCCACGCTGGTCATCGCCTACCTGATGCTGCGGCGGGGCATGGAGGTGCGCAGCGCGCTCTGCGCCGTGCGCCAGCAGCGCGAGATCGGCCCCAACGACGGCTTCCTGCGGCAGCTCTGCCAGCTCAACCAGCGCCTGCTCGGCGAGGGCAAGCTCAAGCCCTAGGGCACAGCACCACAGCCTCTGTGCCCGAAGTTCCCAGAGCTTCAGGGGATGGCTGAGGCGCTTCAGAGACGCCAGTTTCAACCGCCGGGCTAAAGCGAGGTGGAATTCCTGCGTGTCTAGTGAAAGAACCTTTGGAACTCTGGGGTTCTTTCGAGATGGGACAAAACTGTGTCGTTGTTTGGAGCTGTTGCCATAAAGAGATGTTTTTAGAGGGATTGCTTCAGTGATAAGAGCCATCTTCACATTGCAGACTTCCATAGCGTATGTGGTTTGCATTGACATGGAAAGTGATACATGTAAGCTTTGTCTTTAGTCTCACCAGTTCCCAAAAGTCCCAATACATCTCTTCACTCACTCTTAATAAGAGCACTGTAATTTGTAAAGCTTATTTTTCATGCACACAGGTGCCTAAAGTTTGAATGTAGGAGCTTCAAGGAATGGGAAGCATATGTACAAATGCACAGATGCATTCACTTGGAAAATAAAGTGCATGCAGTGTTTTGTGTGGATTTATGCAATTCACAGTGTGAGAGTAAAGCCATGCAGAGCTCATGCTTGATGCACCCTGTCTTTCCAAGATTAAGTTTTTATCTCTTCTGTTACGTTGGACACAAAATAGTCTGCTATTAAATGCTCTTTTATTTTGAAATCATACTAGAAAAAAAATGTCAAGAGCAAATGCTGAGGGAAGAACTTGAACAAGGAAGAAATAATATTAGTATTTAGAAGTGCTTGTGGTGGATGTATAATTAAGTCCTAAGTATCCTAATATAATGCCTTTCAAAGCTTGTATGGAATTACAGTGTCTTTATCTCTTCTTTAAATCACTGTTCAGTGACAGAATAGAACAACCACACGTGGATTACTTCCAGCACAGGTGTGCTTACAAAGCAGTTTGCAGAAGAACACTCTTGACTTCTTGGATTGCTTGCATGGTATCATTAAATAAAAATGAGCATTGTAATGTACCACACTGTATAGGAAATATTGACATTCTATTCAAATAAATAATGACTTGATTGCATTTACTACAGATGAAATGAGTCATTGCAGTGTTGGGAGAGGGAGCTGTGTTTGCACTGTGCCTGACTTAGTGTGTGAATGTGTACTGTGAGTTACTGTGAGTTACAGCACTGTATTCATGCAAATGATCTCCCACTGCAAACTGGAATTGGTTAAACCATCACAAACCAGGGTGGCTGTTCCATTCTCACGTGTGCTTTAATGTAGTTCTACAATGAAAAATCTCAGCACTGTTTTAAACAGAAATACTGACACAGGTGGTCCCAGGTGTAGTTTGGTCTATTCAGTGCAGCAATCAGAAATCACAAAGGACATGCATGCATTGTTTCACTGCTTTTGGTGGGGCTGTGTGCTTTGGAGGTGTGGGAGTGCCCGTGGAGGCTCTGTATAGCCAGGTGAGGCTCTTGAAGTTAAACTCCAAGGTGATTATTCTGCTTGGGCTCCAGTCTTCCTGGTTTTCCTTCCACAGGATGGAACTGCCACATCAAGGAGCCTTTTCTCTGTTTGTCCTTCAAGTGACAGTGGAGGAGCACGCTGCGTGGTGCTCCCTGTCTCATCTCCACAGCCAGTATTCAGTGCTTGCTTTGAATCAGGATGGGTCAGTAATAATAAGCAGCAGTCAGTTCCACTAGCTAATTACACACGTGTTTGCTTTCTCCATTGATCTGTATAATCACATGTAGAGGAACTGCTTCTTCAGAATTCCCAGTTAACTAATTTCATGTTGTGTGAAATAGGAGTAGTGGCTTTAGAAATAGGAATACTGGCCTTACCTTTTCTACAATGCTGACTTTTCATGCTGCAGTCTAATTTATAAATTACCCTTTAAAATTTTTTACTATAAACATAGATTATTTTTTTTGTCTTGTCTCACACCATGTATTGTTAACACCTATTTGCACTATAAGGAAGAAAAGGGAAATTCACATTGAATGCACTTTATCTTTCACCTGTTACTTGGAAGTCAAAATTCCAGTCCATTAAAGAGCTAAGGAACCATTAGGCCCTAGACCTTTGTTACTCTTGAGTAGATTGTAAGAAGGCTGGTAGTTGTCAGATTGGAACCAGAATGGTTTATTAAAATTGAGTCTGTTTACCTTGTGATGATGTTTCTGTAGTTGTCAGTATCAGGAAATACTGAAACATCAAAACGGGAATGTGTTCTTATATTCAAAATAATCTTTTACTTCATGGGACACTGGTCACTCTTATGGTAACTCTGACCCATTTGTCTCAGTATAACAAAACTGCTTTAGGAAATGTTTTGTGATATGAGGGTGGAGAGGCATAAGCAAGACAATATTATAAATTGTTTTTAAAAGTGAGACAGTATATAATATTTAAAATTACTGATACGCAACTCAGCAATGAAACAATTTCTGCTTTTAGAGCAGGCTAAAAATAGTTAAAAAGTCAGAGCAGTGTTCCATTAGTGGATCATACCCTTCCTCTGAGTCTTGCTCTCCAAGTACAGCCATGTTGCAAATTCCTCTGCCCATTTTAGCTGGCCAGGAAGATCTTGTATGTCTCTAACCCACAGTGATATGCTGTAAACTTCTAAATTTCTCTTCCTGATTGTAGAAGGAAAGATTATATAAAACATGGGAGTGACAGCTTTTTTTCTTTGCAATATGAAATTGAGAATGTATTGGGAAAAAGAGCTTTTTATTCCTTTGAAATTGCTGAGTACCTGCCCTTTGCTGTGAGATCTTCCTTACAAGAATGCTTATTTAGGAAGGTACATTTTAAAAGAACTGTTTGTTGCAAACAGCAGCACTCTGCTTTTGGAGTTTATATTTCCTGGCCTAAAGTAGTATAATCAGGATTGACATTAATATGTTCATCCTGAACAGCAGTGTGGTGATTTTTGGGTGAATGGTACTGTGGAGAAGGGATGGTATCTCTATAAAATATCCATTTGTCATGGAACAAAGATCTCTGCCATGCCAAGTCTAGCCCAGTGAAGGAAGATGCAGTAACTTAGGGGTTTTTGTACTTAAGAGTTAGTGAAATTAGAGAGGGGGCAAAGAGGGAAGGTGAGAAGCTACTCACATTTTACAACAAGGCACAAAGATGAAAGTCCAGATGGACAGAATGATGATGCATGTAAAACGAAATTCACCTACTCACACTGAACTGAACCTTTCTTCGCTGATGAATAAGTACAGGAAAGAAGTCTGTAACTGAAAATTAAGATTGAGAGCAAAAATAACATCTTGGAGTTCTTTCTTCATCCTTTGGTCCTGCAGTGGGGCTGCAGTGTGGATGAGTGTTGTTTGTACCTGGCATGCAGCTCTGCCCCACAGCACTGCCAGGAGCACTTCATGAGAGAATGGTGCACTGCTGAACAGTGAACATCCCATGAAGTTATTTCAAACTTGGAATTAATGGCATCTGAATGCAGAGCTAGCAGCCACGAAAGATTGTCTTGTAATTCCATTTCTGGATGCTAAGCCTGTATTGAAATTGGACACCCTTTTCTTCTACAGTAATTATGATTGGTGATGTGAGAACTCATCTTCATAAAGGGCTTTGGAGATGAAAGGCATTGTGTATAATAATAATAATGATGCATGTTTCTGACTTGAAAAACAAATTTGTGTCAAAATGCATCCTCCTCAGCAAAGAACAGCAGCAGAATATTAGCAATGGTTACTTTAATCATTTAGATACTTTCATTCAGCTGCCTTCTGTTATCCAGAACTAATTAAAACTCTGATGCCAGAAGCAGAACTTTTTACCTTCTATTAAATTTTATATTAGTTCTGCTAGTTTGCTATGATGTTTTTATTACAGAGACTATCTAGTGGAATCTGTTTTAGTTTAGCACAGAAGTTTTTTTCTAAAATTACTTTCTGGGCTTCACCAGTGAGTAAAACTAGAAACAGAACAAGCCTGAGAGGTGTCTTTTAAAGATTTGCTGGTGAGAATTAGTGTCCTGTTCATTTCTTCTGCAAATAAATCCTGGAAATAATGAAGTGTTGGTTGTGTGTTTTAATTGCAGTTCCTGTATGCTGATGTTGCTGGCTGGCTGACTCACCAGATGGAGCTGTAGGCTTGTTATTCTTCCTGGAGAGTCCTCCCTGAATCCCTGAACTGTGCTGCTCTGTGAATCCAGTGTATTCTTACCCCTGAAAAAGACAAGCCACCAGAATGACTTGGCAATCTCTGGTAGAGAATAATAAGAATCCATTTATTTTGGCATCTTGCAGGAGATCACAGCATTCAGACTGTTGTATTCACTCTGTGGCATTGCAGAATTCTTCTGAGGCAGCTGAAACTTGATTGGGAAAGGCTGCATCATGGGAAAAAAAAAAAAAAAACAAACAAACAACTGAGAAGCAAAGTTCTTGATCATGTCAAAACCAGAATTCTGGGCAGTGTGTGGAGTCTGAGCCGTTGTGCACAGAGAGGCTGAGGTGCAGCTGCACAGCTTTGGGCTGGGATGCTGAGCAGAACCTCTCGGCCAGGCGTGGGCAGGGTGAGCACCTGAAGCTGCAAAGGCTGGACCAGTTCAGGAGCTGGTTTGGCTGGGTCTGTTGCAGTGCCAGGCTTTGATGAGTGCTTGAGCTCAGAAAGGAGCAGCCGTGGATCAGGCTGAGTGCAGGTGCCACTTCACTCCTGGTGATGTCTCTGGTTCCTCCTCAGAGCAGGGCACTGCTTGGGGCTGAGCTGGGCTTCCCTTAATTCCCAGAGTCTGCCAGGGGCTGTGTTTTGGGTTTGTGCTGAGCACAGTGATGATCTTGCAGAGATGTTTTTGTTACTGCTGAGCAGGGCTGACACAGCTGAGGCCTTTTTGGCTGGCGGGGGTGAGAAAATGGGATGGCCAAGGAGCCAAATGGTAGCCCAGGCCATTTGGCAGCATGCTCAGCATGCTCAGCCTGCAGGGCTGGTGCTGGTCCTGCTCTGCCAGAGCTGCCCGAGCACACCCACTGCCCACTGCAGGAGCTCATGCTTCTCTTTGCTTTTCACACATGGCTTTTGCTTTTCCTGTTAGAATGTCTCATGCCATGAGCATGAACCTTGGGATTCGGTCCCAGTCCTGCTTGGTGCGCAGTGAGCAAGTGTTGGACAAAGCTTTTTTTTTGACTTAAGAGATGGGACAACTGAGAGGTGTTTTAAAAACTTTTGGTTTATATTTCGTTTCATGAAAAGGGTGAGACAATACAGGTGTTATAATTCATGCCATCACAATCAAAAGTTAACTATTCCTTAATCACAGTAAGCATTTCTTGGCTATTCAGCTTTAGCTGCACTATGCTGTAAATGCTTTAATCATCTGAAATTACTTTTTGTGGGTCTTACTACAATGTATTTTTTATAGTTCTATTTTTAACCGTTTAGTCTTTTTTGCGAGGCTATCTTTTGAAACTTTTTCTAGTTCAATTTCTCTCTCAACAATATCTTCCTTATTCTATGGTATTTCTAAGTTAGTATTTCTTATTTTAAAGTTTGCAGACATGTATACTGTGTGAGGTTTTTGTTAGGTTTTGAGAATTTTCTACAGATCCATTTCCCTGTGTGGGTTTGGCTCTGGCTGTGGGCTGAGGATGGAATTGTTCAGCTCAGAGAGAGCAGCTGAGCTCTGAACAGGTCCAGCATCAGTCCCACCCTGGTAGGGAGGGTTCATTCTGAGAACACTCTATCCTTGCCAACTCTTTTTGTTTTTTCCTGTGCTTCATTAACAATACAAAAATCAAATTTTTGGGAGGGGACTGCAGCACAGAGCATGTCTGCTTTGCTGCAGAAAGGACTGTGAGCAGGCAAGCAGCTACAGGGTGAGGAAGAATGTTTTTGTAGATAAGGAATCTGAATGTCTGAGATTTGGGTTCATTCCTGGCATCTCTTAGGCTGCTCTCCTGGCTTATGGACAAGAAGTTTTAAGCCACAAGCTAAATACAGCTTCTGGTTTTTTCATTCAGAAATTGGTTTGGTATTATTTCTCTGTGTGGGTTATACAGATAAATATAATAGTAGCAGTTAATATGTGACAGTTAATACAGAGGATTGATTGTTTAAGTACTTGGGAGAAGCTACATCAAGATTTTTATGTTTTATGTGACAGCTGATTACTTGAAATGAGATTCTTTCCATAGGCCTGCACTGACAACAACAGCTTTTGGAAATATTACATGAAAAAAAAAAAATGAACAGAAACTGAGCTTTGGTGGATGCACACAATTCTGAAGGCATTTAAAGAAGGGAGTAAAGAGGTAGCAAGGACTCAGGGATTACCAGCACTCAGCTTGTTCTGCTCTCCAGCTGTTCTCCCTGCTGCCACCAGCTGTGGTGTCACTCTGGACAAGGCTCTCTTGGAGAGTACCCACACAGGGTGGTATTCCTGTCTGACAAAAATAATACCAAAATCGTTGTTCAGTTCCTGCTCCTTCAGGACTTTGAGTCCTTCACGGCTTGTTCAGTTTAGGTCTAAACCAAAAATAGATTTACTACATGTAAGTAAGCAAAATTATGCTTAGAATAATTGCAATAGTTGGGAGTTTGGTTTCCTGTATTTGTGAGACTATCATTAACTGCTTTGACAAAAAGAGGAAGTTAATTAAAGATTATCAGTGCCACTGATAATGATGATGATAGAGAAAAAATACCATATTGGAAGCAAATTATTCGATAACAGTCTGTACTAAAAAATGTACTAAGAATATTTCCTGACTGGCTGAGGAGAAAAAAATCTTATAGAAAGAACATGGTGTTTTGTTTTCTTCCATAAAAACAGAGTCATTTCTGAGATGGTGTGCTGGTTTTATGTTGGATGCCTGAGGTGTGGGCTGGAGGAAAGGAGGAAGGGGAGCTGACACACACACTGTAGTGTGAAACACAGTGCATGATTTAGTTTAGACATTCCTTGGAGTATTTGGAAAGGAGAGCACTTTTGGAAATGCTGATTTCTAATTTTTGGAGTATTTGGAAAGGAGAGCACTTCTAAGAATGCTGATTTCTCATTTTTGGCTGAGCAAAACACAAGGAAGGAAAGCACCTTCCAGGGAATGTCAGATGCCAGAGTTTCAGGCCAGGACGTGGCAGGAGCAGCTGTGCTGAGCTCAGCCTCAGTGCCATGGTGCAGCTGCTGGGGTGTTTGTGTGAAGGGTGAAATGTCCCCATCACTGCTGCCCCTCATCATCCAGGGCACCCCAAGGGCCAGCACAGCACCCCACGTCACATCTGGTGGCACCTCTTTTCTGTACCCCACCAGGGGAATGGCCAGAATGGAATGCAAACCATTCTGAGCCTTGCAGTCACAGGGAAAGTCAGACAGAATGGGTTTGGAATCTCTTCCACAGGAAATATTTTCCTGAGGAAGTCTGGGACTGGCATGGCAGGAACACACACGTGTCCCTGTGCTGCCTCAAACAAACATTTTGTTTTCATAGCTGTGACAAGCTCAGTGTGGTATCTTAACCTTCCTAAAAGCTGAGATGCTTTCTGATTAATGTATTTAGCCTAACACCATTTGCAAATCACTTGAAAGTGTATGTGGTCTTGAGACACTGAAATCATGATATTTTCATCACTATCATCTTGCTTTGGCAAGGAAGAATATCATATTTGAGATTTTTGATTTTATCATGTATTCATGATACATGAATACATCTTAGGCATAAATGCCCTAGACCTAAACTCATTATTTTTCTTTTTGTTGGTTGGTTTTGTTGTTGTTCCACGGCTAGAAATCAGTCTGGCCAAGGTCTTGTGTTTAAAACAAGCAAATGTTCCGTATTCAACATTTCACACAAGTAGTAGTTTACAATGAATTTAAAGCAAATGCAAACATGTGTTAGGTGGTTTTTCCCAAGAGTTAAAAATGTGAGAAAGAGCACATCAAAAATTATGATGTGCAACGTTCTCTCTGTTTAATTTAAAAACACATTCCAAACAAACTATTTTTAAGGAAAAGTAAACACAATAACTTCTCATCTTGAAGTGAAGCTGTTCTCTGTTTCTTTCTGTGTATTTGTGGAACAAAATGTAGAGCTCCTTTTTTTGGAAAGGAGAGAAAAAAAGCTACCCTAACCCTAATCATTTCCCTGCAGAGACTGAAAAGCAGAATTACTGAGCTACAGTTTCTAGATTTACTCACTTTATACAGCCAGCAAAGTGAAGAGGAATAACAACAGCAAAATGTAAAAAGTCTGAAAAACCTTTGGAAAAGACAATAACCAAAGTTTCAGATATGGATGCAGGCAGAAGCAGGTTTTAATAACACCATTGTTAGGAAAAGTGCAGAAAGGCTTGTCAGGTTGCAATTCATTATAGCCTTGTCTATCACCTTTTGTTGCCAGGCTCCAAAATGAGGTAGATAAGTGAAGTTTTTGCATAACAGTTGTAAAATATTGTCACTAAGCCACCCCCACACACCCATTTTATTTCACACTGACAAAAGCTGAGATGAATGAGTTGCCTGGCCCTTCCCACTGTGTATAGTCATTGGCTGGCTTGGTTCTAAAAGGGATTTTAAAAAGGGGAATAATGTGCCTTTGCCCAGGATCTGAGGCTGTCAGGGTGCTGAAAAGCTGATCTGTGACCATGCAGATCCCTTGGGCTGTGTGTGCTGTCTGTGTCCTGACACAAATCACATCTCACTCTGTGCAAGGGTGGCAGATGTTTAAAAATGATGCTACAGAAATCATTCCTGAGATCACTGAAAATACAGAAACACCAGTGGAGCCAACTTTCAGCAACAACAACACCATGAATCAGGCAAAACATGGAGGAAGACACATACAACAAGCTCCGGACCTTAATGGTAAGAAAAATTATCATTATTGCTGTTTTGGATCTTAACAGACAATTTGTAAAAGAATATTTGGTATCATCTCTGTTTGTTTATTAACTTTAGGTGTGGCCCAGCTGCTTTAAGTGATAGATATTTACATCTACTGTTGAAGAAGTATGAATATAAAGATTAGAAAGAATATATTGGAGTTTACTGATGCAAACATCAAAATGATGAACATTGCTACTCTGCCCAGCTGCTCTCTGCAGACAACTCCAATGCATAAAACCTGCAGTAGATATTACTTAGCAATTCTCTGTGTTTTGTGAGGAAATATCACAAGTTATCTCTCCCTCTTTAATATTAGGATGGGGGAATGGGTTGACAGTGGAGACAATAATATAAATTTCTAGTATTTAGGAACATCCACACCAATTGTGACTAGAATCACACACCAAAAGTGGCACATTGAGGTTGTGTTCAGCTAAATGAGAGAAGTGTGCTGCTCATTGTCCTTTGCTAACAGACAGATCTTCAGCCAGGTTCCAGCAGCCAAAAATGCCTCAAGATACCCTGTCACTTGACCAAGTGTCTAACTTTAGCAGTCATGCAAGTCTTTGGAGGAGAGACAGAAGATTGAAAGCTAACACCAAACAGAGAAAGGTAGCTTTAAAAAAGTTCTCCGCTGGAAAACAGGGCAAGCTTGGTCCTCCAGACACAGCACAGAGCAACACAGGCACAGATCAAACTGAGAATTTCCACTTTGTGCATGGCAGATCTTAGCCAGCCTCCTTTTTCTGGGGACAGCTGGAAAGCAATTGTGAATTTCTGCTGCAGCTGTCATTAAGGCATTTAAAACCATAGGGTTATCAATATTTTAAAAGAAAGGAAAGGCTTTTGAGAGTGTTTCTCATATTCCTAGGAGGGGGAGCACTCTGTTGCTCCCAGGCAGCCCCACCAACCACCAGGTCAGAGCAGGTTGATTTTCTCCTCACATCTCAATACTTTCATTTTTTAGGCTCTTCCTACTCTGACATAGCTGGGAACCTGCCCCACTGACAGCTGCATGTTTTTCAAAGTGGAAAGCACATTAACTTAAGAAACCAAAGACTGAAGGAGACTGGGCAGTTGTTTAAGCTACACAATGGTTTTGTATACTTATTTTGGCATCTTTAACATAAGGAACCAAAATTCTGATCCAAAGTGGCCAGACCTTTCTGGAACACATGCACCAGACCACGAGTGACTTTGCACCTGCACACTCACAGGACAGGACATAAATGCAAATATCACCTACAGAACTGCCTGGATATTTAACTGCCTGTGCATTATGGAGGTACAATACACCTCATTCAACACATTTTTTTATTGACAGACAGAATTTTCTTAGATGCTTAGGGAAACTGGCAGAGTTAAACTGAAGTGCATGTGGAGTTCAGTTGTATTTTTGTTACAGCTGGCAAAGATTGCTTAATTTCATTAATGCAGTCCTTCAAACTTTTAAGAAATGAAATCTTGCTAGCTGTACTTTGGCAAATATAAGTAGACTTTAAGAAATATAAATCTGAGCACTGAAAATCCTGTTTCTGTACTTCACAGGAAAACAAAAAATTAAAATGCCTGTACAAATACTGTTCTGTCACTGATACTTCAGGGTGAGAATTCCTTTTTGCTGAACTAAGCCTTTTCCACAGTGAGGAGAATGGGCCTAACAGGCACAGCCTTCTCTGTGAACTGACCTTTGAAGGCTTCCACCACAAACAGTTTTCCTGAGTTAAATCTGTCCTTTTGACTAAGAACATTCATGTAGATGAATAACTAATGTAGAGTAATAACTTCTAGATGAAGTTATTAATGAAGTTATTTATATAAGCACTTAAAAATCAAATCTTCCCAGCAATCAATTAACCAAGGGTGTCATTTGGGAAGAGCCACTTTTGAGAAAAGTTATGTTCCTACAACTGGAAAGTTTCTAAACACTAAATGCTAAGAAATCTTGTCTTTTCTAGTGCTTCATTTTCCTAGAGTTATCCATTGAGAAAAAGGAGAGGAAAAAATCTGTAAGGTTCCTAATAGCCAGAAGATCCCTCTCTCAGGGGAACTATGTGGAATTTCCACAGAGAGCAGGAAACTTGGAAAAGCTGCTGCCTGAATAGTGGGAATTCCTTAGTGCTGCTGTTACCTGTGATTTCTCTAACCTGGAACACATCTTACAAGCTAAAAGCCGTTTAAGGGACACTTTTTTGTTGTTTTTGTTGCAAAAAGATTTAAATCTGGAGTCAACATCTGAAGTCAATAGAGTTAAACTAGAGCACTGGGGGAAATGGAGCCAGGAGAATATTGCCAAAAATTCCCAGCTGCTCTATTTCCCCCCTGCACAGCACTGACCTGAAATGTACCTGGTGGCTTTTATTCACCAATTTTCACATTGTTATTCAAAGATCTTACTACTGGAGTAGCTGAATAGTCAGGAGCTGCATGAATGAGCCTGTTGAGATATTTCTTCTGAAAATCTGCTGTTCAAGTCATTCAGCTTGTGTCTAGCTCAGAGAGAAATCTGCTACAGGAACTGTTGTGGTTTGACACTGACCCAACACCAGGCACCCACAAAAGCCACTCACTCACACTCCCCTGCACAGCTGGGCAGAGGAGAGGAAAATTTTTAAAAAATCTGTCAGATTATAGCACTTATGGTCTGCTAAGAGAGTGAGATAAACTGAGCTGGAGGTAGCTGGAGGTTTGGAGGTTTGAGATATGGACCAGGAGAAAAACACTCCAAGGGCAAAACAGGCTTGGCTTAGAGGTACAAAATGACTTTATTACTAACAGAATCAGAGGAGGATAATGAGAAGTAAAATAAGCCCTTAGAAACACCTTTATTGCCCCAAACTGTTCCTCCTTCTACCAACAGCACAGGCAGACAGGGCGTGGGGGATTGCTGGGTGAAAAACAGGCTTGGCTTAGAGGTACAGAGTGACTTTATTACTACCAAAATCAGAGGAGGATAATGAGAAGTAAAATAAGCCCTTAAAAACACCTTTATTCCCTCAAAGTGCTCCTTCCCACCCACAGGGCAGTGTAGAGGGGGATGGTGGGTGCTTTCTCAGAGCTGGCAGGGAAAGAGCCTGGAAAGAAGGAAAAAACAGGAACAAATGAAAGAACGGGAATGAAGGAAAGAACGGGAATGAAGGAAAGAACGGGAATGAAGGATTACAGGAATAAAAGAACAGGATTTAAGGAAAAAGCAGGAAAGAAGAAAAGAACAGGATTTAAGGAAAGAGCAGGAATCAAGGAAAGAACAGGAAAGAAGAAAAGAGCAAGAAAGAAAGCAAGAACACGATTTAAGGCAAGAGCAGGATTTAAGGCAAGCGCAGGAAAGAAGGAAAGAACAGGAATTAAGGCAAGAACAGGAATTAAGGAAAAAGCAAGACTTAAGGCAGGAGCAGGAAAGAAGGAAAGAACAGGATTTAAGAGCGGGAACTAAGGCAAGAACAGTAAAGAAGGAAAGAACAGGAAAGAACGGGATTTAAGGAAAGAACAGGAATTTAGGAAAGATCAGGATTTAAGGCAAGAACAGGATTTAGGGAAATAGCAGGATTTAAGGCAAGAACAGGAAGGAAGGCAGAGCAGGAGCAAGGCAGGGCAGGATTTTAGGCAGGAACAGGATGGAAGGAAAGAGCAGCATGTAAGGCAGGAGCAGGAGGAAGGCAGGATCAGGATTTAGGGAAAGAGCATCATTTAGGGCCAGAGCAGGTGGAAGGCAGAGAAGCATGTAAGGCAGGAGCAGGAGGAAGGCAGGAGCAGGAAAAAGGCAGGATCAGGATTTAGGGAAAGAGCATGATTTAAGGCAGGATCAGGATTTAGGGAAAGAGCAGCATTTAGGGCTGGAGCAGGAGGAAGGCAGGGCAGGATTTAAGGAAAGAGCAGGATTTAAGGAAAGAGCAGGATTGAAGGCAGGGCAGGATTGAAGGCAGGAGCAGGATTTAAGGAAAGAGCAGGATTGAGAAGGCAGGAGCAGGAGGAAGGCAGGGCAGGATTNGAAGGCAGGGCAGGATTGAAGGCAGGAGCAGGATTTAAGGAAAGAGCAGGATTGAGAAGGCAGGAGCAGGAGGAAGGCAGGGCAGGATTTAAGGCAGGAGCTGGATTTAAGGAAAGAGCAGGATTTAGGACAGGAGCAGGATTGAAGGCAGGAGCAGGATTTAAGGCAGGGCAGGATTTAAGGAAAGAGCAAGAGGAAGGCAGGAGCAGGATTTAAGGCAGGAGCAGGATTTAAGGAAAGAGCAGGATTTAGGACAGGAGCAGGATTGAAGGCAGGGCAGCGTTGCAGGCAGGGCAGGATTTAGGACAGGAGCAGGATTGAAGGCAGGGCAGCGTTGCAGGCAGGGCAGGATTTAGGGCCGGAGCAGGATTGAAGGCAGGGCAGCGTTGCAGGCAGGGCAGGACTAACGCTCCCTGTTCGCAGATGCCGCCTTCAGCTGCCGGGAGGTGCGCACCACGCGGTTCCTGACGGACGGGCCGTGCCGCAGCCTGAAGCCGGTGAAGGAGCTGCTGTGCTCGGGGCAGTGCGAGCCCGCGCACCTCCTGCCCAACTCCATCGGCCGCGGCAAGTGGTGGCGGCAGGGCGCGCTGGATTTCCGCTGCATCCCCGCGCACAGCCGCACCCAGCGCGTCCCCATGGCCTGTCCGCAGCAGGAGACGCGGACTTACAAATTCCGGGCGGCCACGTCCTGCAAGTGCAAGCGCTACACCCGCTACCACAACCAGTCCGAGCTCAAGGACTTCGGCAAGGACGGCGCCCGGCCCCAGAAGAACAAGAAGCCGCATCTCGGCCGAGCCAGGAGCGGCAAATCCAACCAGCCCGAGCTGGAAAACGCTTACTAGCGGCCGGCTCGGCCACGGACAGCGGCTCCCGATGGTCCCCGAACCGCCCAAAGGCTCTCAGAGGCCACAGCGCCATGTTCTGACTGCAGTAGGTTCCAATTCCTTCTGCTAAGCTGGGTCCAAGGCTCACATAGGCAAAAAATCGATCGGATTGTAGCACTTCTGGTCTGATAAGAGAACGAGACCAAGGCAGCCGGAGGCACCCCCGAGGTCCGGGCAGTTTGTCTGTGTGTCCTGCCGAGCAGGAGGCACAGGAGGGTGAAGCTGTCCTGGGGACAATCACGCTTTGCTAGGAACCATTCCGCTCTCTTGATGTGAAAAGAATATTGAGATCCCTTTCCTGGACGAGGATGAAATTAGGGAAGCACCAGCAGGGTCAGCACTCTCTGAAGGAGCCCTACAAGTTTGGGGTAGCAGGGATTTCAAGTTATGGTGAAGGAAGTCAAATTGTTGGGAAATTAACACGCGATCAGATGTCCTCATGCTCCAGGTGTTTCCTCTCAAGCACAGAAATCAAAATATGACACTGGTGTTCTCAAAAGAGAAGTATTTCATACTAATCCATTTCATACTTTCTACAAATCTATTTCATACTTTTAATTAAAATATTATGGGGTCGACAAATTCAAAGCTGAGATTTGGCTACTGAAACCATATTGATTGAAGAGCAATGATTTGTTTTAGGGACAATTCAACAAATCCTCCTAAGCGGAGCAGATTTATGAAAAAATATGCTCCTCCCAAACCAGATAACCTCACTGATGTTTGTCCTGTAAACAGCTGACAGTATGCATAGTTTAACATAGACTATACTGATTATTCCTTATTTCCTAGAACATGTTTGACTTTAATATCAGCTTAGATACATCCATTTACATTTTCAGTTCTGTAGAGTTTGGAGTATCTGGCCACACACTCTGTAGCACTAAAACTGTGCAAACCAAGCTCTGTCAGTAAGGTGGTGGTTCTGCATTAAAAGTGAGCCTCTGCTAAGTCATGAATTCCTCTAGAAAAATCTTTAGGACATGCAGCTTTGATAAGTCTTTAGTTTGGCAGCAACCTTCCTTTACTTAGCTTCTCAACACTCAGACTAATGTTTGTGTTTTTACATTAAAGGATATTGTTAGAAAATGAATTGTCACATACTGTATACGTCCTGTAGAATTTATGCTGAAATAATATAAACTGTGGAAATTTGAAATGTTGATAGATTTTTCAGTTATTTTATGTGGGACCAGAACCTAGAGAGAAAAGGTATCATTTCAGAGAATGAATTACGTATTTATTTTTTTCCAGAGAATTATTTATGCAATGTTTTAACATGTAGAGAACAAGAAGTAATACTGCTTTAAAAATATTTGTCTGTTATTTTTAATTTTAAATACATTGTTAATAAAGTAGAAACAATAATTAATTATAGAAAGACTCATTGATTTTCAGTTACAGTATAAAGCTGATTTCCTGCAAAGCCAGGGATTTACAGAACAGTGAGGGTGTCAAGTCCAATTTCTGTGATTAAAAATGTTGAGATCCTTAATTCTACCAACCTACACATCCCTAAAGAACCTCCATCCTGGAACTCCTTGCTCTGGTACAGGAAATTCCTCATGGAAAAGTTCTTCCTGGGCAGATGAGTAGCTCAGAATTATTTCCATATTCTCATTTCTGCTTCCCCCAGACATTTCCTGATTTGTGTGTTCACAAGTGGATAAAGCCACCAAAGGAAACAATAAATCTGTGAACTGCCAGTCAAGAGTTCTTGGTTGAAATCTGATTGCTTCAGATTTCTTGCATTGGAAAAAAAAGAAAAACAGTGAGGAATCCCCTTGCAAGGACTGCCAAGCGACTGTTAAAAGTTTTTACAGTTTGGTATTCTAGTCCTATGCTCATTTTCATTTAATCTTTAAGAAACATTTTCCAATAAAGTCAGAGAAAACTGAGCTTGGGCTGCACATGTAGGTCTTTCAATGCAGATGTGAAGATGAGGAGCTTTTTCAAGACAACCAGTATAAAAGTTGTCCTTTCCTTACTGTGACTTGCTACATCACATAAAAACCCAAAATAAATCATTGTCACAACTGCAGCAACATTTCCAGACTTATCTTTGCCTTCATGAATTTGGCACTCGAGGCTTAATTTCCAGAATTCAGTATGAGCACTGCAAGCAGTGCTGAAGTGAGAAAAGCAGCTCAGCTCTCTGGCAAGCTGCTCCACAGGCTCTCAAGCATCTAAAGTCAATGAAATATTGGTTTTTAAATATTGACTCTGATCAGCCAGTGAAAGAGACTTGCTCCACTTCATCTCAGACCCCAGCCTGGGTTTCAGGTAATTCAGAAGCATCAGGCCTGCTTCAGGTGAACCAGGAATGTCTTTGTCCCAAATATTTCACCCAGAAGAGGTTCTCTGACCCCAAAAAACATGTCCCACACAGTTCTTGTCTGCCAAAAGTGTCCGTGTCTCCTGCTGCTAAACTCAGAATCTTGCGTTTTCCTGACTCACAATGTCAGGATTCATTCTTTGCAAGTCATAAAAGCTTTTACAAGAATCCCAGTCGGTGAAGAGTCCTTTTATGCTGTATTTCCTCTCAACACCCCTCCTGTTTGCAGTGGCCTCTCACTGCTTTGAGCACAGCTCAAAGGTGGATGAGATGAGCAGCCTGAAGACATGAGCAGCCTTCTGTAATCTTCCTCCTGAAACAGTCACCCCCAACCACCACTTTTGCAGTTTATGTTATCAGGAGAGGAACAGGAAATAGTGTTTTGTTAACAGCTAGAAAAATCAAAATATAGGATGTTTCAGAGATAGACTGCCACATTCTCCTCCACCACCACATCCATGTGGGTTCTTTCAGACAGAGAATTTGGGATTGTTTATTCATTTATTTAGTTATTTTTGCAATCACCCCCTATTTTTTAACCTCTAATATAGGTGTGCATAACCTGAGAGGAGAAAGCATCCCTAAGTGTGGGTTTGAAAAAGTGTCTGTAGGAAATTTGAGTTTCTCTTTTACACAAAATTATATACTTTCTTTTCAAAGAATGGACAGTGATCTGCTGGGTGCTCCTTCTACAAAATCAGATTAGATTGGATTATTAAATTAGATAGTTTGTCTTTGGAATTGTAAACTCTTCAAAAGAGAGTGAACGTCCTCATTGTCATTTTTGCAATAAAACAGCACAATTTTGCATTGCTTAGGTATCAGGAGTAACAGGTCACAGTTTTTACCCTCCCTTGGCTGGAGGCAGCTGCCCAGAACTGGGCAATGCCATAATGGGCAGTCCTCAGAAAAGAAATCAAGTCACTTTTTTTTCAGACAGAATCCATGATTTCTCTAAATCTGCTTTTCTACCCCATTTTCATTTCCAACAATTTGTGAAGACCATGGCACATTCTCTACAATACACTCACTGGCTTAAAATAGTCACTGTGCTCACTTCATTCCTTTTTCTGGCAAAAATAGAATTCTGCTGTAATTCAGTGAAAAATAAATCTACCAGCAGAAGAAGGATCCTGCTGGTATCCACAAGGCCCCAAAGATTTGCACAAGGTTCATCTTTTTAATTAGAAATTGCACAATAAAGAGCATAACTTTATCCAGTGAGCTCCTAGGCCCAGAAAACACATCACATGTGTGTTCTGCAAGTGTGGTTGAGAAAATCAGCATTGTGAAACACAGAAGGCATAAACATGTATTTTTTTAGCCATATGACATCAACTTATAATTAGCTTGTTTCACTCAAATTAGTGCAGCATATGGGCACACAGAACAACTTTTCTATAATAAACAGCCTGAAAAGCCTTAAACTATCATATAACATATTTATGTGTAGCTGGAGTTTGGATTGAACATGCTGTGCAGCTGGAACCTGAAATTTGATCTGGAACTCCCCTTGATGGGCCAGTAATGGAAATCCACTTCTAAAATAACTCAGCATTAAAAATAAAGCCAGCAGAAATTGCAGAACTTGCAGCACATGCAGCCAAATGTCATTTAATTCCACAAAACACTGCAGCTGCTCCCTGCAGTCCTAGAGCCACCAAAGGAAAATTCAACTCCAGGTTTTTTCAAGGCATTGACATTTTTCTTCTCTGTGGAAACAGATTTTAAAACTGCATGCTGGAGAGTCAAGCAGCAGAGCTCCATGGACAAGGCTCACAATGCCTCGTTGCCATTTTATTGCATTGGGAATATGGGGCTTTGCTGTATTTTTTAGATTATTCACCAAAATGAATTTTACTCTGGGTGGAGTATAGCAAACACAGTCTCAAGATCCAAGGGAGGAAGTTATACTGATATTTCTGTCTCTGTTTTCTGATGCTGCACCCTGAACTGGTTATTTCTTTCAATCCTAAAAGCTTTCACTGTTCTTCCATGAGAGCAAGTTCTTACTGCAAAAAGAGGATAATAAAAACAAATCAGTAAAACCTGAATAGAGGTAAAGCTCATCAGCACATGCCCTGCTAATTCTGAAATGTAACAAACACAAAGAGAACCTTTAGAACACCTCACCTTTACCACATTACAGTGTACACATAAATTGAACACTTCCAGGATGGGGCAGCCACAGCTTCTCTGGGCAACCTGTCCCAGTGCCTCACCACCCTCCCAGTAAAGAATTTCTGCCTAAAATCTGAACCTCTTCCACTTTAAAACCATTGCCCCTGGCTCCCTGATGCCGAGGCCTGTCCATGTTTCTTCTAGGCCCTATTTAGGTGTTGGAAGTCTGCTCTAAGTTCTCTTGGAGCCATAAAAAATCCATTTTAGCCCTCCCAGGGGAGTGTGTGATGTGAATATATATATATATATATATATATATATTTTTTTTTTTTTGCCCCATATTGGCCACTTAGATTACAGCTGATTCCAGTGGGCCTGTGGTGACACTTGGGAACTCACACTTCAGGTGGAAATGGTGAATTTTCTGATGAAGAAAGAACACATTGCTCTGTTCTTGGTGTCCATCATTTTCATCTCAAAGGGGAGTAGCCCCAAGTCCCTGAGTCCCAAATCCTTGAGTGAGTTACAAACCCAAAACCATGCATCTCCCCACTGAAACTCCCACCCCAGGATATTTGGAGCATTAACCCTAAGGCTCAAGCTTTCTAGTTCATGGCTTTCCAGGCAAATTAAATATACTCTCAAACCAAGCAATAACAGGGTATTTATTTCATGGTTATCAAGCCCCTAAATTAAACAATCATTATCATTCCCCCAACAATTTAATGCTTGCAGCATGAGGTTATTTCAATTAAGAAAACAGCTCAGCTCTGGCTAAATAAATAAGTGATGTCATTCTTCATTCAAACCTCCAGATTCTTTGGTGTAAAAATTTCCCTTAGGAGAGGTTTTGGGACACGGTGGCTCCTCTGAGACTATTTACATCTCTCCATTTCTCTAATCTCTTCTTCCTTCCTTCCTCCTTCTATTTCCTTCCCTTCACCATAAACTGGCCAGTGTTTAACTCTAATGCTTCCAGCCTGCCCAACATGCTTTTAGAATTGGGTGGTTGTTGGTTTGTTGTTTTGTTGGTTATAAAAAAACCAGAAATAAGGTTTAATTTAAGGTAATTACTTCCCCATTTGGAGAGTTCTGCTATTTGCAGGGCCTTATTTTT